GGAGAGAAGTCCTTGTTAACCATTCAGCATTGCAGGTTTCCTCCTGGCTGTTAAACCATGGTTAGGTCTGGCAGGAAAGGGGATGTTCACAGTTGCTCCCATTGGGTTTCTGGGCTGCAGTGATACCACTTTTCAGCAGGATGGCCACTGTAATCCCCTCCATATTGCACCTAAAGAAGAGGCTTCCCCTGGAGAATCCATCCCAGATGTTACACTGACCTCTGCACACAGTGTTCAAAAACGACTAGTGGTTGGGTGCCCAACCTGAGTCACCTTAAAAATTCTTGATTTTCAGAAAGGGCTGAGCGCTTACCCTCCAAAACACAGGCCCATTTAAGGCATCTCCAGTTGGACCTCCCCAAAACAAGGCATCTCAAATTCCTTGTGCAAATGGTGGCCTGGAAGGTGAGCGAGTGCTGTGTGGAGACCCATGCAGTGCAGAAGCTACACCGTGCCCTTGGGAGGGGTGTCAACAGCGGCTATCAAACCTGGGACCGCTGGATCGAACGCCATGATCCTCCACTGCCAGGACTGGGTCTGTTCGCAAAGGCTGTAGCAGGCTTATCAATCGCTATATGTAGTCCACCCACTATTAGAGGAGCACAGCACCAAAGGAAGTCAGTAAAGCTCCAATATGGAGCTCATTGTCGCATCTCAATGCTATAATTTAAGGGGGACTCTGTAGCTGGAGACACAAGAGCCACTCACAAGATCTGAAATGCCAAATGTTATTCAAAGCTTCACAGATGTACCTTTCACAGTTTATTCCTGGTGATAGGAGCTTCTGACCTTGCAAATGTACAAACTGTTGAGATGAACAATAAAGCTGGAGTTTTCCTTGATGGAAGGAAAGGGATCAACAAGGGTGTCAGAACCCACAGCTACGTTAGCTTTCCAGGGGCCCTTGTCATAGCAAGGTGGGTCTGCCCCACTGGGATGCTTTATGTTTGCAAATGCAGCTGCACTGAGAGTTCCAGGCTGTCTCTTGATGCCTTGATTCGGGGGCCAGGGTTGCTGATGTCCATGCACAGAAGGATTGAAGTAAACCTTTGTGCTGACAGACTGAGAGTGTGGTTGTCACCAACAGGGACCTGGCCTGGGACTCTTTCAGGGCACACTCTTTCCAGGTGCCAGGGAGTGGTGTCCAAAGTGTACTATTTTGCATGGCAGATTCAAGGTGAATCCTGCACAGCGAGAGTGGATGGTCATGGGGATACAACCAGAGAGAGAAGCTTGGGGACAGGAGTCTCAGATCAGACAGGGATAGCAGGGAGCAAACAGAACAGGGCTTTGTGAGAAGTAGCAGAGGCAGGAAAGACCATGTGAGACCAGAGGGTGGGGAGGCAGCATCTGCGATCCTGCATGAAAGGCAGGTGAGTTGTGAGAGTCACTGTCATTCCAGCAGGTCTTGGGAGATAGGGAGGTTTTGAACATTGGTAGGCTTGCCATGGTGGAGCAGAAGCAGGACCATGGCGGGTGGGTCCAGTCTCATTGTTCTTTGTCCTCCTGTCTCTTGGGGGGGAGCTTTTCAGACCTGTCTTCGGTGGTAGTAATATCTGGAGCTGCCCTGACATACACCTGAAGATGGGAGCGTTCGCCTGGTGACCCATGACTTGTGAAGAACTCCTGCATCCCTGATGTCCTCCCCTGTACTGACTGCTAGTTTCCTCCACCTTCGCGGTAGAACTTGGCAGTTTCTGTTTCCCAGCAGAGTCCCTGATGCATATCCCCCCACCTTTGTGTTTGCAGGTTGCCTATGGGACCACAGAGAACAGCCCTGTCACCTTCATGGGATTCCCACAGGACAACATCTCCCAGAGAACTGAGACGGTGGGGTGCATCTTCCCCCACACAGAGGTGAACTTTATCTTCCCCACCTACCCTAGCTTTACAGTCCCCAGCAGAGCACCGCCGCTGTTGCCCTTCCTCACTCCTTGAGCTGCAGCCAGCATGGGGCTTGCACTGTGCCTGAAGAGCCTGGCTCTCTTGTGTTGCAGGCAAAGATTGAGGATCCTGAAACCGGGGAGATTGCCGCTCTGAACAGCCCCGGGGAACTCCAGATTCGAGGCTACTGCGTCATGCTGGGCTACTGGGAAGAACCCGCCAAAACCAACGAAGTGATCACTGATGACAGATGGTACAAGACTGGGTGAGTTTGGGAACTACCTAGAATCCGCTCTTTCCCCTTTTACCTCTGTTCTGGAGGGAGGGCGCAGGTATATGGCATTGGCTGGGAATGGATGTGTCCGAGTGGGAAGCAAGAACTTCTAGTAACAGGCCAGAATCAGCCCTAGTGGCAGCATGGCCAAATCCATGCTTCAGTGGAGTCGGACCAATTTACGCCTGGGCAGAATTTGGCCCATAGCATTTAGTACAAACCACTACTGGAGACAGGACCCTGCGCTAAATGGATCTTTGCACGGTCCCCATGAAATAACCAGGTGCGGATGCGGGTGGGGAACGTAGAGAAAGGGAGGGGAATGAAAGGAATTCCAGTTTAGACTGAGTTCTGATGCAGGTTCCTGGAAGTAAGAGTTATTGGGAACCCTTTGATCCCTGCATGAGAGTCTCCTCTTGGTGCATCCTCTACGAACTGGATGGGGGAAAGTCTAACCTCCTGCTGGTCAGGATTAAGAGCTGTAGGCTCTGAACGTGACAGTGGGAAGACTCCCTCTGGTCTGATTGGATGGATGAGCCATTCTCCAGCCAGCTGGGAGATCTGGACCGAGGGCTATGGAGTTGACTCGGGTGTTGTTTCAGGGACATTGCTGTCCTGGACAAGCACGGCTACTGCAAAATTGTAGGTCGTTGCAAGGACATGATTATCCGTGGAGGGGAGAACATTTACCCAGCAGAACTCGAGCAGTTTCTACACACCCACCCCAAGATTGAGGAGGTGCAGGTGAGCAGGATGGATAGGCATGGTGGGGTGGGGGTAACGGGCATGCTGCCATCCAGGACATTTGTCAGGAGCCTGTTTGCTTTCATCCAGGCTCAGCTTTTCACCTAGCTGGCGATCTCAAATACAGGGGGAGGATGACCTTGTGCTTAAAATCCAAGAGAGTAGAGCTCCTGAGTTTGGTTCCTCTCTTTGTCACATCCTCATTGGAAGCTTGGGCAAAATCCCGGCGCTCCAATTTCCTGTCTGCCAAGCAGGAGAGTAACTCTTCCTTTCCTCACATTCTAAGCTCACAGCCGTCTGGAAAGTGCTGTGAAATCCACCGAGGGAAGGCCTTACAGAAGGGCACATTATCATTAACCACAAATTATGAACCTAGAAATCAGAATGGACTCGCTTCCTGAGCTGAGGCACTGCGGGGAGGAGTTGCACGGAGGGTTCCATTGTCTAGCCAGTAAGAAGTAGAATGCAGCTCTGGCCAGCTGCTCCCAATCTGCTGGGAACATCATCCAGTTCTCGTGACAAACCACACCTGGGTGTGCTGGCTGCACGACCGGTTGTTGTTTAACCATAAATAATCCAGTTCTTTAATTACTGCTGCGTTTGCTCCAGCATCTCAGTGCAGTAACCCCAGTACGGAAGGGCTGCACTTTCCAGGGCTTTGGTCACTGCCTTGGGAGTCGGCACAATCTCTGTGTGTCTGGAATTTCAGGATGTTGGCTTGGGATGGTGAATGGTGGGAGGGGAGACAGGGAAATTGTGCAACCAAACTTGAGGGGAATCACTTAGGGGAAATCCAGCTCCTACGTGGAATGATCTGACCTTCCTAGCTCGGTACGGAGTAGGCCTGTAACCTTAGCCATGATAGGGTTTTGTTGGGGAGTGTGTACGGGGGTAGGGAGCAGAGCTAATAAGCTTTGCCCTTCTGTGACCCCTTTTATCTGAGGATCTCAAAGCACTCCAATTAATTAAGCCTCACAGCTGTCCCTCTGAGGCAGGGAACCCATTTTACACGTGGGGAAATGGAGGTACAGAGAAGGTTGCCCAAGGCCTGGGAATAGAACCCAGAAGGCCTTGCTCTGAGTCCACTTTTCTAATGACTGGAGCACAGTGCCTCAGCCAGGAAAACAAAGTGAGGGCCGAGGGTGGGGACAGAGCACTGACCCGAGGGAGGGATAAGGAGCATCCATTAGGGAAGGGAAGGGACCAGATGACTCTTGGGAGAAGAGCACTTTCTAGAACTGATGTGTTCCTCCCTCCCTCCAAACCAGGTGATTGGCGTGAAGGACCCGCGAATGGGAGAAGAGATCTGTGCCTGCATCAGAGTGAAGGCCGGGCAGGAATGCACGGCGGAGGAAATTAAAGCCTTCTGCAAAGGGAAGGTAGGATCTCCCCATCCATTCCCAGGCCGTGCCCACGTTTGCTTTGCTTTTCTCAGTAACTCCGCATATTAAGGGCCTGATCCCCAGTTGGTGTAAATCGCCTCAGTTCCATGGAAGTCAGTGAAGTCCTCTACACCCGCTGGGGATCGGGCCTGAAACCGGTCCCACGTATTCCTGACATGAGCAGTGCCTGCCATAACGCTGCCCTTTGTAACCAGGGGTGATAGACGATGCCCTGTCTGCTGTTACTTTCAGGTTGTAGCTGTTGGCTCTCTCTTTTCAGATCTCTCACTTCAAGATCCCTCGGTACATAGTGTTCATGAAGAAATATCCACTCACCGTCTCAGGGAAGGTAAGGGACAGCCCATGGACCAGGGTGCTGGGGCGCTGGGGACTAGCTTCCCCTGGCTGTCTCTCCTCTGACTCTCTCTCCTCCATGCTCCAACTCCAGATTCAGAAATACAAGTTGAGAGAGCAGATGGAGAAGCAACTTCTGTTCTGAACACAAAGGTGGAGGATCGAAGAGAAGCACGAATGGATCCACCTCGGCCAGTCTGGTGTCTCTCCATCCACACCAAGCCAAGAACAGCAGCTGGGAGCTGGTTCCCTGCCCCCACCACCCCGTTATACGGCTGGCTACCTGAAGTCAGCCTGGTGATGCTGTCAATTAAAACAAAGAAAACCCTTCTTTTTCCAACTGAGAGCTTTTCATAAAGAATCAGAACAGTGGGGGGAGGAAGGATGGAGGGTAGACCAAAGGAGGGGGCATCCAGACGACTAGGTTCTACTCCTGACTGCCACTCCTTTGATATGGCGTCTGCAGGACTCTCTAATCTGTGTATGTCTCATGATGAGACTTCCCTACCTTCCAGGGGGCTGCAAAGTGCTTTGAGATCCTGTGGTGGGCGGGGCTAGAGAAATACAAATGATTCATGTTTAAATATTTAAAAGGTTCTGCCCCATAAGGGCCTGAGGCTGTTGTAGGCCACCTATGCTTCAATTCCCTGGCAAAGAAAACCCCAGCGTAGCTGCGTCACTCGGAAGGAAGGTGGGACTAGATTTCCTGGGTGATATGATGCTGCCCTGGACCTGCTGCTGTCCAAAGAGTGAGGATCTGAATCAGGAGAAAGGGCTTTAGGAAGAGCCAGCCAAGTTCTGCCTCCATCTGCCCTTCCTCGGCGCTCCGAGGATGTCCTCGTGAACAGCAAACGGGGGCCGAGCCTCCCAGGTATTTAGACTCCTAACCTCCATTGAACTCAGTGGGGGTTCTGAGCTGAGCTACGTGTGAGGATTAGGGCCCCGTTCCCTGCAGCTGAATGGAAGGGATGGAGTCAGAGGACTGTTTCTGTTCCCAGCCCTCCCTTGGGTGTTTTGAAGTGACATGAAACTCTCTTCGATCTCACAACCGTTTATTTCTGCCTGGAAAGGAAGCTCATTAGATACGGTACAGAAATGCCAAAAGATCCATCCCGTCGGAAGCACGAGACAGAGCGTGCCCGGGACGGTGGTTTTACGGGAGTTATTTGGCGCCTCCCAACCATGAAACACTGAGCAGAGGGGCAGCGGGCCGAAGCTCCTCTTCCGCTCCGTGCACAATGTCCCACTCCAGCTGGAGATCAGATAGACGGCCGATGACGATGATCCTGCACCACTGACCTTCCCTTCTCCCTGCTGCTTGCCGGGCGTGTGCTATGGCAGAGCTGTATGCATTCATAACACTTTCTAAAGAGCCCTGCTAGGGCCATCCTTGAACTCCTCCCAGGATCTGGAGCACACTGAAACGTAGAATGGAGAAAACCATGCTCCAGAAAGGACCCCCCCCCCCCCGAGTTCTCTTTGCTGTTAAAGTTGAGGCATTTCTGCAGTGGAAGAGCGAGCGGAACTGCTGGATTTGGTCACAGGAGGGAGCCTCTGAGCGAGCCCCTCGCAGTTCCCGTTTCTTACAGAATGTGTAGAAGTCTGGAGTCGCTGCTGGTTGTAAGGTGCAGTCTCTTGCTCTGACTGCAGGGATTGATGGGGCAAAGCTAATGCCTCTTGGAACTGGCCTACCCACTGCCCAAGCACTCTGCTAGGGGCAAGGATAGTCTAACCTCTTCTTTCTCCCCAGTCCAATGTCAGAAACACATACACAGGGAGGAGCAGCGAGAGCAGGAGAAGGGAGATGGGTCAGTGGATCCTTTGTTTGTTTCCCAGGGGTCTTAAGTCTCACAGCTGTAAGGTGGGCTCTACCCATGGAAGCAGATCCCCAGAATGAAATATCCGAGGTTCATGCTTTTCATCTGAAAGAAAACAAATATGACACTTTGTTTCAAACCCAGAAGCTTTGGACTGGCAGTGCTCTGGGTCTAGCGGTGCGTGTGAGTGTGTGATATGTATATGGGTGGAGACATCCACCAATAAATAAACACTATTTATTGGTGGGTGTTTCCACCCATTTAACTGGAGGTGGAACATGTGCCATTTCCAGCCTGCTCTTGTTGCTGCATTTCTTGGCCAGCAGGGAGCGCTGACGTGCAGCATGCACTCCCTTCACCTGTGGGGCAAGGAGACTTGAATAGTCTCCCCCACTGAACCTGTGACAGTGGTGTTGGATGCGGAGATGCACTTCTGCTTTATCCCTAGTTCCTAAGTCAGACCGTTCCCGTGGTAGGCGCACAGAACTCATTGCCCTGGGTGTGTGTTACACAGAGGGGACTGAGTATAACCCAGGATGGTAATGACTCAGAATCAATAACATCCTAGCAAAGATAGGGCAGATCTACAGTCCTGCCATCAAAGGAAACAGAGAGAAGGGAGGTGAGCTAATTTAATCTTTCACTGGACCAATTTCTGTTGGTGAAAGAGACAAACTGTTGAGAAGTTGGTCCAGTAAAAGATATTCCCTCACCCACCTTGTCTCTTGAATATCCTGGGCCCAACACGATGACACTAACAGTGCAAACAATCAAAGGAAATCACACTTCTCACAGTGTGAACACGGTGGTGGGGAAGGAGGTAGCTCATGAGAGGAGTGCTCCCCAGCGCCCCTTTCATCGCAGTGCATTTGGCACAGTTCTCGTGTTTGATGGAAGCGTGCTGTATACTTACTAGGATAGTGCACCCCCTAGTGATTGGTGGAACAGAACGGTAGAAAAGATCGTCAAGGCATTGATAAGAAGGAAAACGAGGAACCATTGTGTTACCCTGCAATAAATACATCAATAATTGATTACAATTGGCAAACCAGCAACCTGTAAAACCTGCTACCCACCCCACACACACTTCTCTCCCCGTAGCCTGGGACATCTCAAACAGGCCTTCATATCTATGCAGCAGAGCGGCATTGCCAGGAGCCTCATTAACATGGTGCCAGTTTGCGTGAGTTATATCTGAAGCCAACATCTAGCAACCCCCCCTCACTGGCACACTGTTCTTCTCCCACGCGATGGTGCCATGTGATCTGTGCTCAGGTATTCCAGCAAGGGGACCTCAGGGTTTATGTGGCTGTAGTGCCAGCCTGGTAGACCTAGACATGGAAGTTCTCTTTACCTACAGACCAGCTACAGAGTGGGCAGCAGCAATGCCTGCCCTCCCATAGCATCTTCCCAATGGGCCGCTCTCTGCCCACGTCTAGGTCCAAGTCCCTGGCCCTTGACCACGACTGGGGCAGTCAGAGCAGGAGCCAGAGGCGGGAGGCAAGGCAAAGGTCAGAGGTGGGCTCGGCTATTCAGAGTCCAGGGACAGGGAAGGCAAGAACCAGGAGGGTGGCAGAGAACCAGGGACAAGTTGGGAAGGCAGAGCTCAGGAGTCAGGCACTGTAGGCAGGGTCCGATGGAGCAGCCAGCTAGGAATTCTCCCAGCTGCAGCCATCTTGCTCTGTCTCTTTCTGGCTTAACTAGCGCACCCGACCCAATCCTTCACTCAGCTTCTGGGGACGGGGGGGATCGTTAGCGGAGCATAAGGCCTTAGGGCTCCCAGTTCTCCAGTCACTAGCAGAGCTATTGAGCAGTGGGGCGGATGCAGCAGCCGCCCGGGTTCGGGACCCAGATGCTCACGCCATCAGGGACTCAACAGCAGCCGTCATTGCCAGTTGTGAAGCTGTTTCCTTTGAAGTGGACACCGGACAGAGCCCACTCGCTCCTTCCACATAGGCTTCCCGCCAGCCACCATACGGGAGTAGCGTTTGGTCACTAATCCTCTGAGCTGGATCTGAACCCAGGGCCTAAAGCGGAAGGCTGTGTGTGCCGTTACCCATCTCCAGATCCCCTCCCCATCCAGCAGCTTCCCCGCTGTGTGAGCACACCGAGACTACCCTACCAAACGCCAGGAGAGTGCACTGGTTCCTGTCCTCCCTGCACCATCTCCCTCTCCCGCCGGGGGTCAGAGCCCAGTTCTCAGCATACACTCACCTGGCGGGAAGCAACAAAGCTCTCAGGCTGAAGCGCTGCTGTCTCCTCTCTCTCGCCCTCTCCAGCTGTTTGGTGCAACTTTTCTTTTTATAGAGCTAACCCCGCAGGAGGAAATTCCAAGCTGGCCTCAGCAGTTTCAGGCTGAGTCAAAGAGGGACGTGTCACATCACAGAGAGGCTGGAAGGCATCCGGAGCTGATCCTGCTGCAACTTCTCTTTTTCAAGTGTTTTTTCCCCTCTTCCGCAGCAATAATTAATTTCTCCAGAGCTATGAAGAGAACAAGCCCTAAAACCAACCACACAACTCCTCAAGCTGGTGCTGAGGAAAGGATATGACACAACTGCCTTGGGGGCTGGGAAACTTCCTCATGCCAGGCTGCCTTGAGTCAGGGTGAAATGTCCTGGGTGCAACTGAGGGCAGAAGCAGAGATACTCAGTGACTAGGGGAGCAGGGGTCAGGGGCTGGGGCTACCTGGGGTCACCAGATAGCAAGTGTGAAAATTCTGGACCCTTTTTTTCATGGGAGGGGGTATAGTTGCGTCTGTAACACAAAGCCCCCAATATCGGATTTGGGACGTCTGGTCACGCTAGGGCTACCCCGGTGGCTGGTGAGGGGTGGGAGGTGAGCTAACGGGATTAGCAGCACCCCATGGATGGGCACCAGTGGGATACTCCACTGCCTGATGGAGGCGTTATCAGTGGGTGATGGTGGAAATGGGGGCGAGGGAAAGGAGACAGAGGAAGAGGTGATGCCCTGTTAACTGACCGTAGGGAGGCCGGCCCTGGCCAAAAGAAGGGCTGGGGTAGGCATGGCACAACAGGAGCTGAGGCAGGGGTTCTCACAACACATTTTTTGGTGGCCTCTCAGTGTGGCTAACAACTCTTGCTGGCGGCTGCTCTGACAAACCTGTCTCTCTGTCCCTACCTGCCATGGGCCTTCAACCAGAGCCCGCCCCGGGGAAGGTGGGTCAGGAACTCATCGCTCACCTGCAAAGTCCAGGCTCCCTGTGCCCCGGCCAGCTGCCCAAGGGAGTGCCTCAGCGAACGAAAGCCGCAGCTGCCTCCACTGCCAAGAGCCACCTCCGGTGCCGCACACACCAGCCCTATGTGTCTCCAGAGATGCTGCCCGGAGCCCCCGAGGAGGCTGGGCAGTGCAGGGCACCGATCCTGCTGGTGGTGGGAGCACAAACCCCAAGTGCTAGGCAGTGCTTAAGAATGCACATGTGCCCGAGATGGCACGGCCTGAATTCATGTCTCTTAACCCCTGCCCCAGCTCTGCCATTGGAGCTGAAGGCACACACGAGCTGAGGGTGTGCGGAGGGCAGGAGGCTCCTGTGCGTGACTCCTTTAGAGACAGAGTGTGAGGGGTGGGGTGTTGTGTGGGTCTGCCCAGGGCTGGCTCCAGCTTTTTTGCTGCCCCAAGCGGTGAAGGAAAAGAAAAAAAAAAACGCGATTGAGGTGCCGCCGAAGAGGAAGAGAGGGAGTGAAGGACCCACCGCCGAATTGCCGCCGCAGACCCGGACGTGCCGCCCCAATAACGGACGGCGTGCCGCCCCTTTCTACTGGCCGCCCCAGGCACCTGCTTTCTTCGCTGGTGCCTGGAGCCGGCCCTGTGTCTGCCCATCCTACTCCCTTCTCCTCCAGCAAACAGGATCTGCTCTTGCCGCTTCGGCCCACATGCTTAGCCCGTATCCAAGCCTTGCCGGCTGGTTTCCATCAGGAGACATGGATTATACTAATACAAAGCCAGTATTTCTCTGATGCAATCTTGGTCATGTCCCAAGAAGGTGCCCAGAGCCCTGTTTGCCTGAGCACAGTGGGAACAAACAGCAGCAGGCAGTTTTCTTGCTCTCAGTTTCTAAGTCCGCCCCTCCCGCCAGCCAGTCCTGTGCCCAAGGAGCTCTGTCCCTTGGGGCTCTCTCATGCCTTCCGCTCTCCCTTTCTGCTGGGTTTCTCCTTTAACATGCGTGCATCTTGGCTCCTGCCTTGGAACCCAGTCCCAGGGAAATCTCTCAGGACACGCTTAGCCCCACTCAAGCTTCATGGTGCAGACAGTTGTCTGGCAGTAGCTTCAAGTGTCTCCCACTCTCTCACCCCAGCCAGGACTTAATTGCTCATTCCATTGAGCCTGAGCTAGCTGGTTGATGCCCCCATTGGCTTTAACCATGTCTGTGATGTTTATAAATCAAAGACTAGCTTGATGGCTGCCATTAACACCTTCCAGCATCACACTCCTCTTGACTGAGACACATTCCTCCTAATCGTGTGACCCTCAGGCACTGGGCAGGACACAGCACAGAATCCCATCTACCGAAAGACTGTGTGTCTCTAGAAACCAGGACCGGAAAAGGCCTCTGCTGGGGCGGAGGTGGGGAAAGCCCTGCCTTCCGGCCCTGGCCCAGCAGCGTCGGTGTTGCACAAGAGCCTGATCGGTCTTGAGGCATAGATGAGCACACAGCCGCTCTCTGGGGCTGGCTCAGCGATGTGATCATGCACAGCCTGGGGCTGTAGCCGTTAGAAGTGGGAGGATAGGGTGGACAGAAGGCAGTGGCACTGGTGGACTCTCAGCCATAGCAAAGCAGCGTTCCACCTACTATTCCAACACACAGGGCTTTTCTGTATGATTGCACTAGCTAGATGACTTGCTGTCACTCCTGGGCGTGCAACCAAGATCAGCCATGACCAAAATTCATTACTAGACGACATCTGTCTGTTGTCCTACAACGTGACCAGGTGGGCCCAGGTGAGATCCAATGGGAGAAGTGGCCACGTCACTAAAATCGCTAGTACGTTTGCTACCTTTGTTGGCTGCGCTAGCAAAGAGGGCTAGGACTGAATGGGCATTGAGTGACTTATCTTCTCCCACAAGAAGGGTGTGGACCTTGGCAGAGTAACTAGGGGAAGCCTTCACTGCTATTGCCTGTGCTATGTGCATGAATTCAGGGGAGAGAGGGCCGCAGCCTTGCTTTCATCAACTTGCATCAGCAAAGTGTGTTTGGTTCTGGTCAGCTCTGGGATGAGAGGGATGGTAGGAGCCAGAACCAGCCAGAGTAGGGACCTGCTGCACTGGGAACAGGGCATCAAATAGGGCCCAGATGGGGCCACTCTTCACCCCAGCATCCCTGGGACTCTGCAGGGGAGACTCACCCATGTTCTCTGGGGGCATTAGGACCCATGTGATACCTCCCTCCCCACTTGGCCTTGGAAAAATTGCAGAAAGGAGCCATCCAGGTCCCAGCCCCACTATGAGCAGCTGCAGAACCAACCAGAGGAGGGAGGGACCTTCCGACATCCAGAGACCTTTCGACTGGACTTTCTCTGCCGATTGCTCCAACCGTTACCCACCCCCCAATCTCTTCCCCTCTGCTTCATTCCACCGCTACCCCTCGACCCTTCTCCACCCCTGCCCTCGCTCCCCTCACCCTTCCCTTTTCTTTCCATGTAGCTCGTTCCCTCCCAACTAACCCCACCAAAAACAAACAAACAAAAACCACGTTTGCTGCCATCCCATTGGTCACTCCGCTTGGATGCGATACCTCTCCCTCCGTGTCTGTCTGGTCTCTTTGATTGCGAGCTCATTGGGGCAGGGACTGGCTAGTACCCTGTAGAGTGCCTAGCACGATAGCTTAGCCGGCCCGTAGGCACTAGCGCAATAAACACGATTAGTAAGACCAGGCTGCTGCAGGAACTGGCGTTGGCAACTTGGCTGGTGGCGCTAGTCTCTCTCAGACAACACTAAACCGGATTCCCAGCATGGGCTGCGGCAGTGGTATGCTGCAGCTGGTGCCATCTTTCAAATGAGATGTAAAAAGGAGCTACTAGTAGCTGTAGTCATAGAGACGGTGGGCATTAAAGATCACATGGCACTTTAAGTAAGAGAGAGGGAATTAGCTCCAGTGTCCAGGTTTGGGGTCTTTCCTTCTGCCCGAGCCAACTCCCTCTGCTATTTTAGCTGGCTACCCTATTCTTCATTTCCTGCCCAAGATGGCTGTATGAGGCTGAAGTGCTCTGTTAATGCAGCTGCCCGGGGAGAGCAGCTTTTCAATGGTGGGTGGAGTGGTTCAGACGCTTGCAAAGCACTTTGGAATCCACCGAGCTGAAAGACCCGGTATAAATGTACCTTGTTCTTACTGCTGACAAGCTGGAGCTGGGATCCACCGAGCTGAAAGACCCGGTATAAATGTACCTTCATGAGACAGCTCATGATGTCCGACACCATCAGGTGGTCCAGAGACATCTACATGGAACACATCACGGGACACCGCCAGTACCACCTCGAGTAACCGAGACCACTGACCAGGGAAATAACCCACTTCCTTCCCTGACGCACCCCACCCATGGACTTATTTGCTACACCGATACTGACTTGGATTCTTGATACATTCCATGGGTGGCGTACCCGAGCCCACTTATCCACTGACGCTTTAAAAACTCCCTCACCCCAATCTCGGTCTGTGCTGGTTATGTGATATGTATGTATCTCGTGAACCTTGTAACCAATACCCGTAACCCCTCATAACTTGAGCCTGACCCTAGATGTACAGGACCTTCCCTCTTAACTTGTGTGTATTTAATTTTAAACAACTTTAATAAAACTTTTAAATCTGTTCTTACTGCTGACAAGCTGGAACTGGGATCCACTGAGCTTGAAAGATCTGGTATAAATGTACCTTGTTCTTACTGCTGACAAGCTGGATCTGGGCTCCACCGAGCTGAAAGACCCGGTATAAATGTACCTTGTTCTTACTGCTGACAAGCTGGAGCGGCTCCAGTGCTAAATTCACTTGAAAGCAGAAGAGACTTCACTGGCAAATGAAACCCAGGACAACGCAGCAGGTGCTGCCTCCCCGCAGCTCCTCGCAAAGGACGCTCCAGCTCCTTGTTCTTCCGGGCACCAAAAGAAGCAACTGCTGCCTTCCCTTTGCCGTGCACACCTGGCAGATATTAATGCACGTTCCTGGCAGGTGAGACTTTCCAACTTCACCTTTGGCCCAAGGCCAAGCAGGAGACGTGTGAGCCCAAAAGAGCGCTGAGAAAACCCCCTAGAGGTGGGAATTAAGAGTTCAGCAAGGCAGGCGCATCTCTCTCTCTTCACTAGTGCATAATTACATGTCATTAGTTTAGCCGGTTGCTACAAATGTGCCACCTGCTGTTTGGCTGGGGGAATTACTGGCGGGCCTGGTAGGATTGGCCTTTTAA